CGCCGGACAAACACGCCGACATACACTCAGAGAGAGAGGGAGAGAGAGAGAGAGAGAGAGAGGGGGAGGGAGAGAGAAACAGACAAATAACAGCACCACTACGACCCTCCTTGGTGGATGCCGACGAGGGCAGGCTAGCAGAGAGCATTTGGGACGGAGAATTTGGGCATGATAGGGGTTGAGCTAGGGTGATTTTAAAGCGATGGTGACAGGGGAGAGAGAGGGACGCAGAGAGATTCAGAGATAGAGATAGAGTGAGAGCGAGCGGCAAAGAGGAAGAGGGGAGCGAGAGTGTGAGAGAGAGAGCGAGAGAGAGTGCCGGAACTCGAGACAGAGCCAGGCAGGCCAGTATTGAGATCCAGGAATTCGTGGTTGATTTTTAGGGGTTGGGACTGGCAAGCTAGCAGAGGCAATTGGAGAAAATTCTTTCAAGCCAGAGAGAGAAAGAGAGAGAGAGCGAGCGGGCGAGCTTGAGAAAGCGTATATTAAAATCCTTTGTAGGCCAAGAGAGTATTCGATTAAACGGGTGAGAGAGTGCGAACGAGAGAGTGACAAGAGAGAGAGTGCGAGAGAGAGCGAGAGAGATATAGCGAGAGGGAGAGAAAGAGAGAGAAAAACCTAAAAAACAATAACCCAAAACCAGAACAGTACGAAGATCAATGGCTACACAGTCTCGTGTTCCCCCCTCAATCCCGGGCGACTGCCATCCCAATTAGCAGCCAGCGAATCGGAAATGGGGACGGTGTGTGGTGGGGGGATTGGGGGAAGAAGAGAATATTCTATCGTTTATCGTGGCTCAGCCGGAGGGGGAGAGGAGGTTGTGGAATGTTATCAACCTCCAAGGCCACATCATTCGCTGGCTGCGAAGGGGGGGGAGGGGTGGTGCTCATCTAATATAAGGAGGCTGGTGCTCCCCCTTGGAGAATCTCCCGAGATCATCCACTAGCAGCTATCCCTGGGGGCTAGTAGATGGCGGGATTCCCATTGACTGTGCGGAGATCGGGATTTCGGAAATCGGATATAAGTGATCTGATTTATGCTATTTTAATAACCAAAAATCGGCTCAAGGTCGTTTTTCAAACCTTAAAAAGGCTGAAAAATTAAAAAAAAAGCAAAAAATTAGGCACTCGATAGTTTTTTAAACGCTTTTAAAGCGACTAGAAAATCAAGAAATGTTGGAAATTTGGTAGTAACTATTCTTGGCATTTTAGGAACTGGGAAGTCTGGTTTTAAAAGTCCTCAGAACCGAAAACCCAGTCCAAAAAATCGCCATTCCGCCCGGTGCCCTCATCGACATTCTGAATATTCTAGGGCAACACTCGGCCGGGATTGGCGCTTTTCCACGGAATTCCGGAATGTCAGGTTTTTGGGCGTGTTTCGGAGCGCACGGAAATCGGAATGATTGAAATTTTGGGAGAGCGCCAAATGGTTAAAAATTAGATTTTAAACAAAACAAAGTTTATTTTAACATTTAAATGGGCAGGAAATGATCTGAAAAACTTTGAAATTTCGAAATTGGCTGAAGACAACCTTGTACTTTTCGGATTTTTTTAGTAAAAAATGGTAAGATTTTACGCTTTGTAATAGCAAAAAAATTTATAAAAAAAACATTTCAATTAAAATTACAAAATGTCAGCCCCCCCCCCGGTAAGTCAAAAGCACCCAAAAGTCCATAAAACATCAAAATCTACTCAAAATGACGATTCTGCGAAATTTTAAAATACCAGGAGCCTGAAAAACATCCATTTCGCGCCAAAATCCCAACAAAAACATCAAAATTTGCAAATTTTAAAGCGATCTGTAACCATAAAAATCCATAGAAAATTTTGCACGAAATTTCGACCCGGTTCCAGACTACTACTATACACATTCCATTGCCGACTAAATGGACAGCGAGGAGACAATTTTTATGGCAGCAGGGCCCGGGGGGGGGCTTCTACGAGATACAACCCTAAAAACAGGAGGTGGGGGAGTCTATATTTGAGGGGCTGATAACCATTTGCAAGGGCTGACGACTGTACGAACTGTTTGTACAGCACCAGCAGCCCCTCATTCTATCGCCCCCCCCCCACGGTCCCCTCGAAATGGGCTTAAGGTTGCTAAGCTTGGAAAAACGCTGGGGGAGGAAGGGAAGGAAAAAAGTTGCGATTGAAGATTGGTGGCGATGGAGAGAAAAAGATAGAGAGCGAGAGAGAGAGAGAGAGAGAGTGAGAGAGAAAAGAGGGAGCTAGCAGAGACCAGCTAGGAATTGCAAAAAAAACGTTTTCGTATCTCGCTGTCCCTCTCTCTCTCTCTCTCTCTCTCTCTCTCTCTCGCTTTCTCTCTCTCGCTTTCTTTTTCCGGCTATGTTGCTCTAGAAAAATGAGTCAAATCAAGTCAAGGAATCTGGTGCGGGAGAAAGTAGCAGGAGAGGGAGAGAGCGAGAGAGAGAGAGAGAGAGAGAGAGAGAGAGAGAAATTCCGAGACACAGGAATGATGAGCAAAAACGAGCGTATCTAGCGAGCTTGGCCACCTAGCAGAGACCCTTTGGGAAAATCACCTAAAATCCAACCCAGGCTGGCAAAGACCATTTGCGCGTGCGTGGCGCGTTGGAACGCTTCTAGTCTGATCCGGGGTCCCGGGGTTGGGGGCAAATATTTGAGGGAAACCGCCTCCAGACCCTGACACCGACGGATGGGATTTTTAGGGGTAAAAACACAAAGACAGAATCCGGATGAGCCGCTGAATTTGGGCGATTTTGAGGCGAGATCGGAGAGGGGGATCTGCGGGAATCTAGGGGGGAAATATGGAAAACTGAAATGAGGGGATGAGAGAGAGATAGATAGAGAGAAAGAGCTAGAGAGAGAGGGAAATAAAGAAAGCGACCGAACAAAAGTAAAAAAACCATTTTTTTCAAGATCTTAAGAACCGTGGAACCTCCGTTGCGCCAGACCAAGCATCAAGCTCGAAAAGTTCTGAAAAAACAAGAGGAAGCCCTCTCCGCTCCGGCCCGAGCACCAAAACCCAAGGGGCAATTACCCAAAACGGGGGTGGGCGAGAGAGAGAGAGAGAGAGAGAGAGAGAGAGAGAGAGAGAGAGAGAGAAGAGAAAGAGCGACAGACAGACAGACAGGCAGAGACGAACAAAAAGTGCCCTCCCCCTTTAACAATGGGACCCGGGGCTGAGGGGGATGGGAAAAGTTGGTAGAAAGTTTCAACCCATCCCGGTGGCGTCCCGGAACGGGGATGACCCAAATAGCCTGAGGGTACCGGGAGGAGAGAAGGGGTAAACTGGTAGACGGGTTGGGTTTTGGAATTTAAAGGGACTGAGAAGGCAGGGTTCCGGTGGATTTTAGAGAGAGAGAGAGAGAGAGAGAGAGAGAGAGAGCGAGCGAGAGAGTGAGAGCGAGATAACCACATCCATGTGACTGTATACGGACTGATTGATCGATTGACAGAAGGGGAGAGGTGTTGAAGTGCCCGCAGGGGGGATGAGGGCCCTCCAAGGGGCGGAGTGTCGCGGAATCTCACTGGATATTCGGCCACGGGGCCTGTCCGCTGGGATTAAAGGGGCTGGGAAGACAAGGAAATACACTTTATTCTAGCTAGCTGGAAAAATTTAAGGGTTCAACAAGTCTTAGTTTCCAGAAGTTCAAGTGAAATTTCCACAGTTCGTCGGGCAAAATTAAGTCAGTATGAGTTAAACAGCGAGAGAGAGAGAGAGAGAGAGAGAGAGAGAGAGAGAGAGGGAGAGCGAGAGAGCGAGAGAAAGGGAGATAGTGAATGAGGGGGAGAGAGGAACAGCTAAAATGAGAGATTAAAGCTTCTTAATTTTCCTAAAAATATTTCTTTGTATTGAAAAGTCAGTTAATCAAAACGGGTTTTTAAAGCTTTTACTTGTATGCAAATTAGCAAATTTTCAATAAAGTTAAGCCCGAATACTCGAAAAAACTCTTAAATTGAAATTAACGTTAGCGGGATTTACACAACAAAATATATTCTCGCTAGAACACACTTGAAAAAGTTGCGTTTTTTTCACAAAAAAAACACGCAAGAAGATAGGCCTAAACTGATTTAAATTAAATTCTAAAAAGTAAATTAACGTTTTGGCGTAATATTTACAGCAGTAGGTTTTTTAGTCAAAAATCGGACTACGGTAGCGCTACGGCAGCGGGAAGCCCCGGAAAACCATCGAACACGACATGTAATTAGTAGCTTCACGGCAATACGCAAATTTGGTCGGTATTTGTGATGTGATGTCGCGACTCGAGCCAAGCTGTCAACTAGGGCATAGCAGTCGCGCCCCTTCTCTCCTGTGTTGTACAGGTCTACAGGGCGACGCGCCGCGCCCGGCGTGCGTCGCGGCCCTTTCCCGGATCCCCGGAGGGGATACAATGGGGCCCGGGAAACGGCGTAAAATCCAAGATTTTGCGTCAATTTTAACGTTATACTAACGACATTCAGCTGAAAAATAGAAATTATGATATTAAAGATTTTTCGACCTTTTTTAAAGAGTGATAAACACCGAAAATGTGTGAAAAATCTTCGAAAATTAGCACTAAAGTTGCTTTTTACTGTTTATGGCAATTTAGCTAAATGCAAAAGGTTCGTTAGGTTCAAACTTTCAGCTTAAATTTATCTTTCTAAATTTAAGCATCATTAAGGCTATTAAAAATGCACCTCGACTCAAAAATTTTCGTTTTTCGAGAATTCAACCTATCAAAAAATTCTTAGCATTTTTGTTATAACATTAATTATAAGCTATTTTATTGTATCGGCTGAGGTTTTTAAGAATGTTCAAAACCGGATTTTCTTGCGGCAATTTTTGTAAATTTTTTCGTTATAGTATAATTATTATATTATAGACATAAATGGATACTAAAAAAATGTATATTGCGTCGAAAAATACAATATTGTAATAATAATTAAACCGTTTATTCCGGCAAGGTAATATGCATTTTGCGGAGAGGAACCGTTGTAAAAAGAGATACCCGTATAAGCGGAAAGGCACAAGCGTGACTAGGGATTCTTTGGCGGGGGGATATGGAAGCCCTTAAATGTATCACAATGACGTATGGAATTAAGTAAAAAAAACGGATTAGAAAAAGACAAATGCATTCGGGAGGGGTGAAATTAAGGATAGGCGTAAGCCTAAGCTAAGCCTAAGTTAATCGCTTATATCTGCATTTTTCCGGTGCTCAACCGGCGCTCGAGGGGCTTCTCGTTGGAGGGAGGGTGTGCGGAGGGTGGGAGAGAATATAGACACACAGAGATCATGACGAGACACACGCCGGCTGTCAGTTGGAGCGAGAGGAGGACATCACCCAGGTAGACCGAGAGGAGAGCCGTTAGACCTGGAAATATTCGGGTTAAATGCTGATTCTGGTTTGGACTTCCTAAATAGTGCCTGCTAGCTCGCCTGATTTCCTAAATGGTCTCTGCTAGCCTGCCTTATTTCCTAAATGGCCTCTGCTGGTCTTTCCTCGTTCCTAAATTATCTCTGCTAGCCTGCCCTGTTTCCTAAAGGAGACCGCTAGCCTGCCTTATTTCCTAAATGGGCCCTGCTGGCCTGCCAAATGCCTAATCATTTCTCACTCTCTCCCTCTCTCACACTCCCTCTCTCACACTCCCTCTCTCACTGTCTCTGTCTCTCTCACTCTTTCGCTTTCTCTGTCTCTCACTTTCTCGCTCTCTCGCTCTGTCTCTCGATCTCTCGCACTCTTTCTCTCTATCTCTCTCTATTTCTCACCTATGGCCACTGTCTGGCAGTACGTCTTCTTCACATTGTCCGCGTATTTCATGACAATCGACACGACTAGCCCCCCAAATGCGTTCAATATCGTCATCAGCCACACCAACGGGGTCCACCCCTGGAAGAAGCCCCCTGAAAATAACAGGCTTTAAAAGCTTATTCAAATCTGGTACCTTCTTGGATTTTCGAGAAATCGGAAGCAAACATGGTGGCGAAGGCGAAGGGTGCGGTGAGCATTGAGAGGCGGATGTTCTGCATCCACACATCAACTGACGACTTTTTCAGCATTTTCTCGAAGTAGACGCCTGAAAATGGAAGATGGTAGAGAGAGAGAGAGAGAGCGAGAGAGAGAGCGAGAGAGAGCGAGAGTGTAGGGCAAAATCCTCAAAATTCCCCACCTGCAAATGCACTTGTCCAACACATCGAAAACACGGCCCCGATCCCGAGCAGCCAGTTCCCCCTTGCGTTTGAAACGGATGTCGCTGAAAAATGTCAGTTTAACTATTTCCGCATGATTCGGCGGTTGTCCGTATCTCTTTAAACGATCATACCTCCATCCAACTGGACGAGCACGACGCCCGACATGGAGACGAACAGAGCCGCCCATTGGAGACCGGATAGACGCTTGGAAAGGAGAAGCACGGAGAGGAGGGCTGTTGTCAGGATGCGGAGTTGGTAGGTGACCTGAACGGGGTGATAAGAGGGGGAAAGAGCGAGAGAGAGTTAGAGAGAGAGAGAGAGTTAGCGAGAAAGAGCGAGAAAGAGAGAGGGAGCGGGAGAGAGAGAGAGGGAGAGGGAAAGGGAAAGAGAGAGAGGGAAAGTCGAACAGGCGAAAGATAGAGAGACACAAAAACAGGCGAGAGGGAGAGAAAGCGATAGACTGAGAGAGAGAGAGGGCAGCGCTGCCGTAAAAAAACCCCACGGCATATGTCGTAGCGTCAATATTGGCCAACGCGACGTAATACAAATTATTCTGGATAGCATAGACGACAGCCGGCACGCACACCTTCGCCGTCTCCACTTTATTCTGCCAAACTGTTGCCCGGAATTCATTGGCGAACCTGAAAAGTTGACTTCATCTTATTGTCGCCATCCCTTTTAAAAACGAGCCAATCCTTACTTGAGCGGACTGCGCAAATTGATGGAGATGATGATCGAACAGGTGAGAAGTCGAATTAGCTCCATCATGAACACCGAGGTGGTCGGCAGAAACGATGATTGCTTATTCACTAAAATTTGGAAAATTCGGGAATTACGGGCGAATTTGATCCCCTTGAAAAGTCCTTTAAAGTTGGATTCTTTAAAAACCGCACCCACCTTCGCGGACGAGCAACGGCATGCCGGTCTGCTGGGCGGTGAGCAGTAACATCGCCCAGAACTGGACTGAGCATACGGTTTTGTGGAGCTGGAAATGGGCGGTGAATTTTTCTTTGGGGAATTTGGACACCCTCTCTCGCTCTCTCTCGCTCTATCTTTCTCTCGCTCTCTCTCAGTCTCTCTATCGTTCTCTCTCTCTCTCGCTCTCGTTCTCTATCACTGTCTCTCTCTCTCTCGCTCTCTATCTCTGTCTATCTCGCTCTCTCTCTCTCTCTCTCTCTTCCTCCGTCTATCTTAAAACGCAAAAGTAGATTGGCTTTAGGTTGGTCATCCAAAGCTTCAAAATCCAATTTGCAAGCCTTGAAATGACACCTTCTGGAAGAAAATCAGGCCGAAGTGGGGCAGGCTAGCAGAGATTTTTGAGGAAATCACGATTTTTTACCCTAAGTTGCCGAAGACCCAAAAAAATCAAACTTTTTGTAGAAAAATCAATCCGACGTAGGGAGGCTAGCACAGACGCTGAAGGAAATACCCAGTCAGAAAAAATCAAATTTACCAGAAAAAGATATAAGCTAGCAAGCACCTAGCAAGCTAGCAGACAAAATTTGCGGAATTTTTAAAGGAACCATAAAACCAGTACGCACAGCTCTAATCAACCGCAACAAAATATGCCACACAGCCCGGTCGTCCTGGACGAATAGCTCGGGGAATCCGCGGTGGAGCAAGAGCTGTAGGGGGCGAAGGGAGGGCATACTAGCAGAGATTCTTGGCTAGGAATTAGACGTGGATTCGGGAGGGGATGAAGCCGCCGAGAATAGATCGATGCCCCCCGAATTGGAAAGAGAAGCCGAGGGGGGAAGACCATTCTCTTTTTCGCACAATACAAATAGGGGATGGCCAGCATCGACACCTGGCAAAACCGGACGGTCAGTATCGTGGGATGTACAGCAGCACAATACCAATTACGATGGGGAAGTCGGAGCCCGGGAGCGGCGCGAAGTTTAAAGGGAGAGTGACAGCAATGTTTTTCTGCCTAAGGTCGTATTTTTAAAGATAGAGTTTTCGTTTCACATTTTATATTCTCATTTATGGGTAGCTTTTAGCTACTTCTGGACAGGAAAATTTTAAAAGCCAGTAAATAAAAATCGATGCGATCCGTCGAAAAGGTAACTATCACCAAAAATCTTATAACATAGGTTCTTTGGCATTATCGGGGGGGGGGGTGGATAATTTTCTTTATATCATTCCTAGTAACGCAATCAAAGTTTATTTAGCAAAATGTAACTATTTTTCAAGTGACAACTTATCCAAAAATCCCAAAAATTTTCTTAGTCGAAAATACATTTTTTGTAGTTTGATTTATGAAAATTTGTGAAGAATTTTTGTAGGTGGCTTTGGAATTTTAGCAAAATGCTATCCCAAGACAACGGTTGGGATAGGCTTCCTTAAGGCTCTCTGCTAGCCTACATTGCCATTTGGCTGTGAGAGAGCGAGAGAGAGAGAGAGAGAGAGAGAGAGAGAGAGAGAGAAGTGAGAGAGCTGGTTTAAAAGCTACATGTTACAGTTTACAGATTAGCTAGAGTTTAGCTAAAGCACAAACCATAGGCGCATCATCCTTTTTCGACCCGTCGCTCGGAGCGACTTTCATAATACCCATTATCCGAATAGCAAAACGAAACTATTAGTCGTAGATTGGAGTCTATAGAGGAGTTCTTAGTAGCTCCGCGGAACGAGGAGAAGGATTTCCCCCTACGCATTTCGTTTTCTAGACAATGATAAAACGGGTTTCTCACACGCGATGGGGCTGCAGCCTAGCACCCAACCCAGTTCCGTCCCCGGGGGGAACTCAAATTAGGCCCGAAATCCCGAATTGGCGCGGAATCTTGCGCGTTCAGAATGGGGAGAGAGGGAAGAAGGAGAGAGAGAGAGAGAGAGAGAGAGAGAGAGAGAGAGAAAGCGAGTGAGCGGGAGAGGGAAATACCGAGAGAAAAAAAACAAATGGGAGGTGCCAAGCAGTTTTAAAGGGACCTGGAAGGTAACGATTACTCTCTATGTCTCTCTCTCTCTATTTCTCTGACCCTAGTATCCTACCGTATCCGAGATCCAGACTCCTCTGCGTGTCTCGCTCCCCAGCTTCTCGCCGAGCAGCTTTTCCGCGTCGCGCCCATCCGGCATCTGGAAAAAAACGCGATTAAAAATTATAAAAATAAAGAAGCGTCCCCTGATAAAACATCGACTGTATAAAATCATCTTCTTCCCAAAAAAGGGAAATGTGGTCTTCACAATTGGCAGCGCCCTATTTATAAATTCAGGACACGCAAGGAATTGAGAAAAAACCCGAGTCTGCAGTACCTTGGCGTCGATTTCCGATTTCGGGGGATCAGTATGATTTTTCGGGGGCATTTCGCAAAAAAATGATCACTGAGGCTCGGGGGATATTTATCGGATGGGTGGTTGGGCAGGTGCCAAAATGGGAGGCCTGATTAAAAACCGCGGCCCCCATTGTGCGATGCATTAATGGGGTTTGGGGGGGGCATTCGAAATTGGGAACCGGGAACAGATGTGTTAGCTTAAAATAAAACCGTTCAAGTAGGTATTGCTGCATTAACGGTAGGGTTTTCAAACCGAAAAACTCAGGTTACGTTTGTGTTACATATATTCGGTGCATCAAGGCTTCAAAAAACTCGGGCAAGCGAGCGGAGACCATTCAAGAATATTTAGAAAGAGTGTGATGAAGAAATAGAGGGACAGGAGAGAGAGCGCGAGATAGAGAAAGAGAGTCCAGGCGAGAGAGAGCGAGGTCGAGCAGGAGAGTGGGAGAGAGAGAGAGAGGGGGAGGGAGAGGGAGCGAGGTCGAGCGGGATAGTGGGAGAGAGAGCCATCCATTAGATTCTGGAGCCTAAAATACTGTAAAATTCGGAGCGAAAAAATGAGCGAGCACGCGCGGACCGAAATATACATCATCATCATCATCTACGTTTGCCCATAAAATAGGATGGGTTTTGCGCGATGTTGAATTGTGTGTATTGTCAGTGTATCTAGGTGCAAATGTCCGGCCGGCGTCCCCCCATTTCCCCCTTTTCTATATTTGGTCTAGTTGCCCGGGGACACCATGCGTATCTCTCTCTCACTCTCTCTCTCTCTCTCTCTCTCTCTATCTCTCGCTCCCTCTCTCACCCATCCAAACAACCACGTAGCGAACGGATTTTCCATTTCCGCCTCTCACCCGAAAGTCGAGAAAAGGAGGAAAAAGCCAAAGACAGAATAAATCCGGGCTAGCCAACATAAAACGCGTTGAAAAATTGATGGGGAAAGGGTCCGGTCAAGAAGCAAAAAAATTGCCTCAGCAGTGATCAAACCTAGAGCATGCACCTATCAGGCTAGAACACTATCAACTAAAAAGTTCTAATGTGAGTGCTCTTTCAAAACACAAAAAACTTGCTTCAGCGGGGATCGAACCCGGGTCATTCACTTGTCAGGCTAGCACACTACCTATTAACTAAGAAGGCCTAATGCGAGGTTTCTTTAATAAAACAAAAATGTTGCGTCCGTGGGGATCCAACCCCAGCCATTCACCTGACAGGCTAGCACGTAACCAATACGCCACGCGGTCACCAGCGCTCGAAAGTGTTATTTAAATCGTTCAGAGGCCGGAAAAAGTGTTAATTGTCCTGTAGCCGGCAGCGAATTTGGATGCCGATGCGAGGGTGTGAAAATTGGCGTTTTTAGGGTGGGAAGATGAGCGGAATAGATTAGAAATGAGGTGGAATATGGGTGCACGCCGGAGCAGATGGCAAGAGAGTGAGAGAGAGAAAGAGAGCGAGATAGAGAGAGAGAGAGAGAGAGAGAGAGAGCGAGAAAGATAAAGAGAGAGAGAGAGCGAGAGAGAGAGATAACGAGACAGTTTTGACTACCATTAAGGCATCAACGGATTGACAGCAATCTTCGGGAAAACTGAGCTGTAGCTGGGCTTCTTCTTTCGCCCTAGCAAGTGAGCTAACAAACATTTTGCCAGGTCGTTACCCCTGTACATATTGACACACACATGGGGAGAAAAGAAGCTTTTCCCACTAACAATTCAGTCTCAAGCATCAATCAGTCGAGAAATAATGAAAAATGGATTTTGTAGATAACGGTTTCTCTCACCGACTCAAAAATTAGCGTATTTCTCCCTTGAAAGCAATCATTTGGCGCTGGCAGCTTCTTCGAAAAAACGGAAGCAAAAACAAGGAGGGATTTTCGTGAATATTCGAAAGTTTCGCGGTATATATTAATTTAGTATTAAAATAGCCATTTTAGAGAGAACTGTCCGGTAGCAAAAACTAGCAAACTAGCAGCGGTTTTTTGGGAAATTTAGAGGTGACGTGGCGTCATTCTCAAACGGCAATGATAAACCCTCATTCGCGCTAAAGCCCCCTCCCCATGATCATTGAAGCACCCAAATCTGAAGCCCAAAAAGTCTTCTTTGTTTTCTTTCCCCATTTAAATCAAAACATTACTTTCAATTTCCGCTGAATAAGGTAGTCACTTGGCACTGGCATCATCTTCGAGAAGTCGGAAACAAAAATGCAAGCTCGGGGCATTGTTGTGAATATTCAGTTATTTTCACGATTATGTTGATTTTGGCATTTAAATCGACATTTTGGAGGAAAAGTGTCAAGAAGCGAGAACTAGAAAACTAGCACTGGCACTAGCACTTTGCCGGAAAGTTAGGGGCACGTGACACCGGGAATGTCCCAGGCCGGAGGGGCGAGCTAGCAGAGTTTATTTGAAAATTTTAAAGGGATACACATGTCACAGCTCAAAAACCCCTATTCCTGATTTCCCCGTCCCTTGAAAGTCCATTTTAGCGCACTTTTCGAGTCCGCATTAATCGGCTTGATCCCCTAAAAGGTGCGCGTTTCCCGAGAACCGTAGCGGTGTGTATTGGCGGCGCATTAATGTGGTTTCGGGGGCGCGTAATTTGTTTTTCGCGCCCCACAATCGGTATTTTGATGAAGCTTCGGGGGGGGGGGGCTTTCCCCGATTTGATTCTTGACACGCGACCCGATTCAAACGCGGTCGCCGTTTTTTGATGCCCCGTTAGAAATTGTACCAAATTCTGACATTTTTGTGCCGATCTGTTTGGGATGCAGCTTTTAAGATGCTTACTTACGATTCGGTATATCATTAATGCGGGAAAAAAATAGAAAATGCCGACAGCAAAAATATCGGCAGGCTAAAATGCCGACAGCCAACATGCCGACAACCAGAATCTCGACATCCGAAATCCGAAGCTAAAATCCCATTCGGGATTAGGCTGTCGGCATTTTGGCTGTCGGGATTTTGATTTGTCGGTATTTTGGTCCGTCGGTCACGACCAGTTATTATGGTTGTCGGGATTTTCGCTGTCGGTATTTTGTCCTGTCGAGACTTTGGACTGTCGGCCTCACTTCTATTTGTATTAAATGACGCTTCGGTCTGGAATTATACCTTTCAAAAATTCTGTAGTGATTCGACACTGTGCTACGCTTCTATTAATTCATAGAAACAATGGATGCTTTACTTCCCAATACCTTTAAAAATTGACGACACCTTTCATGCGACAAGACCGACTTCCCAGTCCCTTTAAAACCCCTGCAAAACCCTCAGACAAGCATCTACAAAAATCTAATTTCGAAAATCCAGGAAATTCCGCGAATTTGACGCGACAAATATCCCCAAAGGGGAATGGAAATGTGTGCACTTTAGGGTGACGTCAGCGAGAAGCCGCATCTCACTCGAAAAACCTTTCAAATGGGTCTTCACTACATGCTATGCTCGGTGATTGCATTCGTCATGATCACCATGCTTGCCTGCAACTTGTTTGTCACCCTCATCTTCGTCAAGGTACGGCGAGCAACGGGGATTCTTGGGGAATTTTGGGCGATGACTGGCTGGCAGGGATTTCTTAGGAAAGTGAGGGAAACGCATAGGTTGCAGCGATTCTTTAGGAAATCTAGCAAGGAGACAGCTAGCAAAGATTGTTGGCCAATTTTGCAATCGAGGTAGCAGAGAATCTTTAATTTGGGAACTATGAAAGCTAGAAAAATACGTCGGGAATTCGTACCAGCCGTCAGCTAGCAGAGATTCTTTGAAAAGCCAAAAACGAGAGAGAGCTAAAGAGAGCGAGAGAGACTGAGAGAGAGATAGAGAGAGAGGGAAGGGGGGAAAGAGAAAGAGAGAGAGAGAGAGAGAGAGAGAGAGAGAGAGAGAGAGAGAGAGAGAGAGAGAGGAAGAGAGAGTGGGAGGAAGAGTGAGTGAACGATATCAGCTTGAGAGCAGAAATTCCAAGCAGTTTCGGCAACCGTCAACTCGCAAAGATTCCGTAAAAACGTAACATCACATCCGGACAGCTGGCAGAGATTTTTGGGGTTCTTCTGAGGACAGCTAGCCGGGATGCCTAGCAAATTCGAGGGGGGGAGCAGAGACTCTTAATATTTAAGAATAGGTGGCTTCCTGGGTCCTTTAAGACGACCGTTTCAGGGCGGTTTCCTCCGCGAGAGTACCTCGCCAATCTATCTGATCATCTTCTATAGTATTTGCATCGGGACGGCCCAGTTGATCGTCCACATCTTCACTATGTTGCCGGCCATTTTCCCGAAGGTACGGTAGACTGAGAGCTTTTTTAGGGTACGGTAACTTGCACAAGTAATAACTCTATTTACAGCGAAGTTTACAGCTACAATATTTGCTAAATTTTGCGAATTCTAAGATTCAGTAAACATTATTTTACGTCCGTACTAAATCTCTGATTTCAGGAAAACATCTTTCCCCTCTACAGTACGGGACACTACGCGCACTCAGTGTTGATTATGGTATTCTGGTACGCCGCGTCGTATATTCATATTTTGATGGCGACGAACAGGTACAGACCCTGAGTTTTTTTACATTTTTCATTAGTTTACCGTAAATTCCCGATTTCAGAATCTCGGTGTTTGTGCTCCCGCGCTTCGCACAGCTCCTCACATTTCGGAACGTAAAAATCGCGCTCGTATTTTTGTCAGTGTTGGCGATCGTGACGTCCGTCTACACGCAGCTGCTCTCGCCGTGTTGCCGGTAGGGAAATTGGCATAAAAATCGTCGTTAGATCTCGCTCTCTCTCTCTCTCTCTCTCTCCCTCTCCCTCTCTCCCTAGCTCTTTCAACAATTCAAAGAACAAATGTGCAGCCCTAATGTTCTGTTCAAAGCCCATTATTCCGCAGCCCTTATTATTAGCCGTCGTAATCTAGGGCCAACTAATAGAAAATGGCGAGGCTTTGGGTTAGTCGGCGCGAAATTGGTCGCTGCGAGGTCACAAAATAGCAAACGCGCCTGTGGTGGCCGTGGTCATTGGGCCCGAAACTCGGCTAGTGAATGAAAGATCAGAATCTTCGAGAGAGCGAGAGAGAAAAGAGCGAGAGAGAGAAAGAGAGATATAGAGAGAGACAGAGAGAGAGAGAGGGGAGAGGGAGAGTGAGAGCGAACTAGTGGGCCTACAAAGTATGATCTTAAAATTTTTAGACTCTACATGGAGCAGCTGACGTACAGCTACAACTATCTGCCGACGCGCCCCGGCCATAATATGACCCTGAACTACTCGAAATACTTTGTCGACATGCCGATCGAGGGCAGCGTCACCGCATTTTGCGTCGTATCCTACGCATTTGTAAGTTTGGCTCGATTTCTCCCTCTCTCCTGCTCGCTCGCTCTCTCTCGCATTCGCTCTCTCTTTCTCTCTCCCGCTATCGAGCCATTCAAAACCCGTTTGTCAGATCTGCTACTACATCAACAAGATGCAGCGCCCATCGCAGGACATCGACAAAAAGGAGCGCAAGAATTTGCGGAAGGAGATCATGTAGGAATTTACGATTGAGAGAGCGGGATATTGCAAAAATCGGCCGGCTTCAATGGAGCCACTTTTTGGCCTTTGAAATTCCGAATTTTCAGGTGTTGCGTGCAGTGCGTGTTGGCCTGCGCCTGCTACACGTTCACCTGGTTCGCCGTCCACTTCTTTCCGTATCTGGGGTACGTTTCCATCCTATATACACAGCGTACCGGGCCGCCTCAGATTTACGACGATGGACGCGTACGCCTCGATCTCGGTGGTCTATATGACGGACTGCGGGATGACGGCCGTCATCATGTTGCTGAACAACGAGGAGGTGCGGTGCATGGGGGTTTCACTTCTTTCCAAATTCTGGTTTGGTGCCATGATCGACCAGACTTCTTCGGGGTGTCACGCCCCTTTAATTCCCAAAAAACCTCTGCCAGCTACCCAGGTCCATTAAATCCAGCAATTTCTAGGTGCGACGAAAAGCCACCCGCTTCAGCGGCGGCAGCTACGCCATCGAGCCCACCAGAAATTCGCAAGCACGCGAACTGTCCAGTACACGCCAGGTGGGTATCGTACACCGGTTGCTGTAGCCCGCAATACCGGGACTTCCATCGTACTGAAATTTTATAGAACGCGTCCGCCATCTCGGACGACAAGTCCGGAAAGTCGTAAAATGTCAATGTAACTCTTCTGTTTTCATGTCATGTAAAATTTCAATAAACATATTATTACGGCAGTACAGACAAAATAAATACCAAGGATCAGATCACATGAAACAGCACCATGATTCTTTCTTTCTACCGTACCACTGGTCCGGATGGGGTCCCGGGTGGAATGGGGTGTTCTGCAAGGGATTTAGTAGTCTTTCGCTCTCTCTCTCTCTCTCTCTCTCTCTCGCCCTCAGTCCCTCTCCCTCGCTCCGTCGATCTCTCTCTCGATCTCGCTCTATTTCCCATACCATCCCCGGCATCGTCCTCTGTTTCCGAATGTAGCGCATCTGTGCTACCAACTCATCGAACACCTCGGTGACGTTCAGCCCGTGCTTCGCCGACACCTCGGCGAACGAGCATTGTGCCTGGAAATTGATGGGCCATGAGAATTCCAGTGCAGTTGCCGGCATTCCGCTACCATAAGTGCCCTTTTTGATGTCTCTGCCCCTTTAAATGTTTTTACCTCTGCTGACAGAATGGCGCCTTCTTCGTGTGCCACTTCACGACGAGCTGCGTCGCATTGGGCTCCCACAAGTACGCGAGCTATCTAAACAAAGTTTTCTGTCTGTCTATCTTTCTCTCTCTCCCTGACTCTCTGCCTCTCGCTCTCTCTGTCTCTCTCTCAGGTATCGCTCTCCCTCCATACCCCATTCGGTCCTCTAATCCCCGCAATCCTCGTGAACATCTCCGGCACCCGCTCGAACCCCTGTCGATCGCTAATCGAGTAGACGACCAGAAACGCATCCGAATTCTCGACATATCTGTCGATCATCCCCGGGAAGTGCTCCTGAATCCACGGAAATCATGCCAAAAACCGCAGTCCCCTACCCGTCCCGCCGTATCGACAATCTCCAAATCGACGAGGGCGCCACCGCAGAAAAACGACTTCTTGTACGTCTCCTCGATTGTCGGGTCGTACACCTCGGCGTAGCTGTTGTAGACGAATTGATGCACCTGGGAGGTAGATATTGCATGCTCGGTAATGACTTACAATGGCGGTCTTGCCGACAGCCGACGGGCCGAGGACGGCGATCTTGTATTTTTCCCGCATGTCTGAAGAGAGAGGGCTAGCAGAGGTTATTTGGGAACACGATGGATTGGGGCGTAAGAATACGGGTCATGAAAAATACAGTGAGAGAGAGAGAGCGAGAGAGAGAGCGAGAGAGAGAGAGAGCAACAGATAGAGTCAGAATGTGAGTCAGAGAGCGTGAGAGTTGGAGGTAGAGGGAGCGAGAGAGTGAGAGGGAATGCGAGTCAGACGGCTTCATGTAAGTAGTCACGGTAATTTTTGAAGCGAGCTGGTCAGGATGATGTTGCTCTCTCTGCCCCTCCAGCTCTCTCGCTTAAATTTGTGTCTCTCAACCATCCTCTTTCTAGCTTAAAAGGAGAAAAATAGCAAGATTCCACGCTCCTTCTCCCTCCCTCTCTCTCTCTCTCTCTCTCTCTCTCTCTCTCTCTCTCTCCTCTCCTCTCCTCTCCTCTCCCCCGATCATATCAAAGACACCTGTGTATCCCCCCTCGAAGCAGTTGCCTCCATCCCCAGCCAATTGTGTCCCTTCTCCTCTTCCTCCTCCTCTTCCCTCAGTTTTGGCCCTTCCTCCCCTCCATTGGCCCTCCAGCTCCATGCCCCTCTACCCCCCAGAAAAGCTTAAGCACCTCCTTTCCGCCCCATCTTAAGCCCTTCCCTTGGATTATTCCATCCTTGCCGCCATGCTATGTTGGGCCAACATTTTTCTTTATGCTCTGCCCCGAGGGTGGGGCCCTCATTTGGCCTCTGCCCTCTTTGCTTTACTAGTCCAATGGCGTTCGGCGGATTGTTTTTTGGTAGATTTAGCTCAAAAATTTTTTGGGTTGGAGATACGGTACTTTCAAGGGGGTGGGAGGGCAGGAAAAATCGCTTTTCGTCGGATTTTGAGCGAAAATTTCGGTTATTTTTGCCTCTCGATTTTTTTGGATTGGTCGTTTTTCTTTTAATGGTACCATTAAAGGAACTAACCAGGCAACAAATTTTTTGAAGGGACCCGGAAGTCATCGGTGGACCCGAAAAATTTCCATTTTTTCCTCTTAACGACCCGCTCGCTAGGCTAAGTCAATCCACCAGCTGATCCATAAGAACGCTTCCTTAGCAAATGGCCAATGGGGGCCTGACTTTAGCTAGAGCAAGAGAGAGAGAGAGAGAGAGAGAGAGAGAGAGGGGAGGAGGAGAGAGAGAGAGAGAGAGAGAGAGAGAGAGAGAGAGAGAGAGAGAGCAAGAGCAAGGGCAAGAGCATAAGAAAGAAAGACAGATAGTGTAAAATCGGCCGGCCATCACGGAAAGAGGCGCCGTTTTGCTTGGGCTATGAGCAGCTGAGGTTCTATTTTCCTGGCTTTGAATATTATTCGAAATCTCTGTTTCTCACGATATTTTGATTGTTTTAAAAAGTTTTTTTAGCATTGCCAATGTGAGAAAAGCTGGCCTCGTGCTCAACCCAGAAATATGATCCCCGCGGGCCGATTTCGGATTCTGAGGCTGTGGGGCCCAGTCGGAATACTGCTGATTCTTGCTGGATTTTTTGGTGGGTGATGGAGAGAGAGAGTGAGAGAGAGAGAGATACAGACAGAGCGGGAGATAGAGAACGAGAGAGAGAGAGAGAGAGAGAGAGAGAGAGCTTGAGCGCACGAGAGCGTGAGATTGAGCATTTGAGAGAGCACGAGAACGAGAGAGAGAGAGTGAACACGAGAGTGAGAGAAAGCAAAAACCAACAAAATCTCAGAAAACCTCAGAAACCAATATTCAAATCATCCGCCGCCCATTGATATCTGTCGCGTAGAATAGCCCTAGTTAGGGTGATGCTCTATGCTGATAAGGGCTGCAGAAGGGGGCGAGTGAGTGAGAGAGCGAGAGATAGAGAGCGAGCATAAACCGGTCCACATGCACTCCTTCTTCCCCTCATTCCATTCCATAGACCACAATCCCAAATACGGCCGTTCGAATTACGGGAGCGCCAGGGAATGGAGGGGGTTCAGGTGCTTCTGGCAGGGAGAGATCGAGTTTTTCTGTCCGATTTTGCCAAATTTTTTTGCCGCGGCAACAAGGTGGCGTTGTAAGGAGCTGACAAATGAGATGTGGGCACGGTTTAGCAAATAGGATTCGTTTAAGCGTAAATTTAAGCCAAACCTCGAGGATAAGCTAAGCCTAAGCTAAGCCTAATCAAAGCCTAGCTAAGCCTAAACTAAGTCTAAGCTGATTGCAAAGCTTGCTAACTCTCATTTTTGCATACTTTCTTTGTTCACCCAGGTACCCTTAAGCCCCCGAGAGGGCCCAGAAAGGGCCCAAATACCCAAAAAGAGCCCGGGTTATCCGTTTTCCTAATCCTGTCCGCCCGCAAAATGACCCTCTTTTCCGGGGGTAAGGGGCCATTTCTCTATTCCACCGGATACGCCGGGGGGAGAATGATGATGGAGGATGGTCTCTCTATCTCGCTCTCCGTCTCTCTCTCGCTCTCTCTCTCTCTCTCTCTCTTTCTCTCTTTCTCTCTCACTCGGCTGCTCAGCATTAAAAGCATAAAGAAATCATTAGGTAAACGAACGATGATGATGATTCAATAATTAGCCAGATTGGGAGGGCGAAAGAGAGAGAGAGAGAGAGAGAGAGAGAGAGAGAGAGAGAGAGAGAGGAGAGAGATAGAGATAGAGTGAGAGATAGGGACAAGGAGTGAGAGGGACTCTTAGTGCTTGTCGAGGAGCGGACTTCCAATAACAGAACTCAAGGGAGAACTAGCAGATACCATTCAGGAACGGAACTGTATGGGAGGGGGGCAGCAGGGAGCATTTTGGAAAGCAAAAGTCATCTTTTTCCAGTTAATCGAGCGGCATGTATCGATGCAGAAGAACGGCTAATGATCGATCTGTTCCGGGGGTAGGTTTTTAGCTTTCTGCCCGTCTTAAAGGGACAGTGACAGCAGATTCCAATAGTTTTCACGCCAAATTCCTAGCTTCCAGGGCCATTTAACTTTCAGCTACAACTCGTTCACCCTGCCCTTCCGGAATGCCACCGATCTTCCAATTATCGTCAAGATTGCGATGCAATTGGTACTGCTCGTGAATGTGGTACGGTAGCTCGGGCAACGTATAGAAAATTACTTCGATTTTCCAGGACGAGCTCGACCAGGTGATGCACACCAATGTATGGTTGACCCTGGTAAGTGGTGTGTGCCTAGGTTAAGCCGGAGCTAAGCCTAAGCTAAACCTAAGCTAAGCCTAAGCTAAGCCTTAGGTAAGCCAAAGCTAAGCCTGTGTAAGCTAAGCCAAGAGAAGTTACGCCCACGCTAACCCCAAAAATTTTAGCGCTGGAACGACTATCAGCTACGCTGGAATCCGGAGGACTACGATGGAATCACGGAAATCAGGGTGCAGCCCGAGAAGATATGGCTGCCGGATATTGTGCTGTTCAACAAGTTAGTGCTGGATTTCGGACAGGCTAGCAGAGAACCTTGGCAAGTAGGCAAGCAAGCACAGGCCTTTGAGGAACCGTATCGATAGCCTGAAACTGGGCAGGCTAGCGGAGAACATTGCGGACAGCGAATTATGCAAATTTCAGCGCCGACGGAAACTACGAGGTCTCCTTCATGTGCAACGCCGTCATCAACTACCAGGGCGGCGTGCAATGGGTAAAATTCTTAAGCTCATAAGATGTAAAAATTACTATTTTAGAAAATCAAAAATTTCTGTAAAATTTCGCACTTAGAAAATCTCTAAAAAATCTTCAGGTGCCACCAGCCATCTACAAATCCTCGTGCATCATTGATGTCGAATTCTTTCCGTGGGTTTTTCCAAGAAAGTAGAGTTCAATTTAAAAAATTTAATTCTGTAGTTTGACGTATTTATATTACTATTTTAATTTCAAACGATTCCAGCTTCGACTCGCAGGTGTGCCACCTCATTTTTGGCAGCTGGACGGTGAGAGAATTGCATTTTTCGTACCGTACTCTCGATTACAGTACAGCCGCGAGGAGGTGAAGCTCGACTTTGAGCGTTCGGATTATGTGGATGTGTCGGGTGAGCTTTACGAATTTGAGCAAGTTGAGCACTGCCAGGGTTTCGGCCATCGGTTTTTAGGCTTAGGCTTCGCGTAGGCTTAGCTTAGGCTTAGGCTTAGCTTAAACGCCATACAACGCAACCAAAGCTTTTTTCCAGAATACACCGAGTCAAAAATCTGGGATTTGATGGACGCTCCGGCAGTACTCGTCGAAGACCGGAGTCGCATCGAATTCCACATCAAGATCAGGTACAGGCAGCGATGTTTTTGACTTTAATGGTCCTCTAAGGAAACTTGGAAGGCAGAAGTACTTTTCTTAGAATCACTAGAATACCTAAGAATACTTTTTACCACCTTTAAGCCTAAAATCTTAGCAAAAATACACCAAAAACTTCAGAAGAAAACCGCTGTTCTACACGGTGGTGCTGATTCTTCCAACCGTTCTGATGGCTTTTCTCAACGTCACCGTCTTTTATCTACCGACCGCTTCCGGTATGGAAGGATTGATAATTCCGAAGCAGTACTCGTTACAGGCGAGAAAATGGGGTTGACGATGAACGTGTTGCTGTCGATTGTCGTGTTCTTGCTGCTCGTCTCGAAACGACTTCCACCCACGTCGAGTTCCATTCCGTTGGTGGCCAAGGTTAGAGAGAGACAGAGAGAGAGAGAGAGAGAGAGAGCGCGGAGAGAGAGCGCGAGAGAGAGTGAAAGCCAGAGGAAAAATAACCAATTCCAGTACCTCCTGCTCACCTTCTTGCTCAACATCATCACCATCGTGATCACCGTGGTGGTGTGCAACATCTACTTCCGATCCCCCATCACCCATCGATTGCCCCCATGGGTTCGGACCGTGTTTTTAAAGGTATGCCTATTTATTGCGAGTTTCCGGCTGTCACCATCCCTTTAAATCGTACCCTGTCGACCTTGCGGCCGCGGCGCAACCGCGATCCCTTTCCGTTTCCGGATTTTCTAGTGGCTACCGATCCTGCTGTGCATGAAGCGGCCTCCGCTCGACCAGAAGCACCTGAAACGACCGCAGGTGCCGCCTCGGCATCTCGGACCCCCGCTGCTGCCCCATCATCATCATCCCCTTTGCGGGGTTCCTGGCACCGGCGACGACAGCGAGTACAGTTTCATTTTCGCTAACTTTTTGCAATTTTAAAAAAAACGGACGGTCCCACTTTGATACCTCTTTTCCAGTGAGGGCCCATCGATCCGGTTGAGCCCCTATGAACCGGACGAAGATTTGTCGCCAAATGCCCAAAGGGCCGTCGACGCCATCGAGTTCATCACTGACAGTATGCGGGACGACGTTCTGACGAAGCAGGTGCCGTACTGACAAATCGGTCACTGATCCCGCTCAAAATTTTCCGAGTAGCTACTGTATCCGTCCGGACATATTGAGGAATATTTGGAAACTGTCTCTAAACCCCCCGTAGATAGGTGTATTCGGCATTATGGACGGGCCAGACCATCCCATAGGTGTATCGCAGATTTTGTTGGTGCCCTATTCTAGCCGAACTACGCGTCGCTACTCTGTACGACAACGGTAAATTACGTATTTTTTTCAGTACAAAGACGACTGGCAGTACGTGTCGATGGTGGTCGACCGCTTCCTGCTCTATACGTTTATGGGGATCACGATCGGTGGGTTTTAGGCTTAGCTTAGGCTTATTTTAGGCTTAGCTTAGTCTTAGCTTAGGCTTAGGCTTAGCTTAGGCTTAGCTTGGGCTTAGCTTAGCTTAGGCTTAGTTTAAACTTAGCTTAGGCTTAGCTTAGGCTTACAAGGGCTGAAACGTATCAGACTGCGCAAAACTAGCCTGGGTTTAGGCGGCACGGTGGGGATCATCTTCTCAGCGCCGACCGTCTTCACTCCGGTGGAGCAGCGAGTG